TTGGGGGGGCAGCAACAGCTCGCTTGCGGTGCACGGTCCAGCTAACCCTAACTGCCTGCTGGTAACCCTAACTGGCCATTATCTCGACGAACAATATAGTTTGCATCTAGTTTCTCATTTGCATTGGAATCTACGGCATGGATTGCACCTGCTGTCAGCGTTGCAGCCTGTTGCATAGTTGTTGTTGACCCAATGCCCATACGGACGTTGAACTAACGTTGAACTAATGGGCATTGGGTCGGGAGGTTCAGTCCTCTTGGCGTTTCAAGAATGGGCATTGGCTCAATATCCCTTTGTCGTGGACTGTAAGGTTCAGTCCTCTTGGCGTTTCAAGAATGGGCATTGGCTCAATATCCCTTTGTCGTGGACTGTAAGGGTATACGCACATCCCGTTTGCCTTTTCTATGATTTTCGACACAACCTTCTTTTCCAGTGACGGGTTGTCCTCGAACAACTCTGCCAAATCTTCTTCATGATGTATCCTTGCTAGCACAGCTTTCTCGACATCGTTGTTGTGTGCAGCGATGATCACCTGTAAACATGGCAGGATCTTCTGGATAACGTCCGAGAGATGAGACCGACCTGTGAGGAAGAACCTCCATCTTGGATCATCGAGAGCCTTCAAATGCTTCAGGAGCAACTTACGAAGCTCGTCCGAACATTCGTCAAGGGCGTCGATGAGAATAAAGATCTGCCTGAAATGTCGACACATCCGTCCAAGGGTTTCCACCAAAGCCTCAGCTTCAGCACTTCGGTTATCGATCTGGCACTCGCCCCACAGGCGCTGCACTTCCTCAATACCCTCCTTCTTTTTACAGAGAGAAATCTGCTTCAGGATACTTGCAAGGACATTCTCGAGCGTTTGCGCTTCTTTGTCCGCGTAGTCGAGATAGATGTAGGCAATCCCAACCTCCCGGTCTTCGTGCGTAGCAAGAAGATTGTCGACCGTCGCCGAACTACACGACATTAATCCAATCTCTCTCTGTTGCTTCCGGATGTAGGTACATACGTTATAAATGTCTTGCCTGCTCCGGGGCCTCCATGGCACCAGAGCGATCGGTGCGGGCTAGTTTCACGGCACCAGTCCTGGTATTCTTGTCTCTCAAAGAGCCATGTACCGCTGCCCTCGACCCTTTCTCTTCTGGTTTTCTTGTGCTTAGAATCGTAGAGCGGTGCGTAGAGCCAGGCAAGAACATTGACGGATTGGACTTCCCTTCCTACGTGGCGAGGGTCGTGTTAGATAAACCCATTCGCAAGGCTATTGTAGTCTCACCAATTTGAACATGCCTTGCATTTATGTTGCCGACCTGAATGATATGCCCGTTCTGTGTATGATTCGCGCCTGAATAAGTAGAGCCGTTCTGGGCAGATATACTCGCCCCGGGAGCAGACGATCCAAGTGCATCCTCAAGTCTGCCATCAGCCATGTTGAAGCTAGGGTCGGGGTGCGGACCCTCTTACTGCCTAATCTGAGTAGAGCGTCGAACGGAGATGAACATGTGAGGCTAGATGCATATGGCACCTATTGATTTGTGATTTTGATTGCATTAGACTGCAAATCTTGTGGTTCGATACAAGACAAAAATTGTAACGCTGTAATCGAGCTATATGATGAGAAAGAGGGAGAGAGAGAAGAGGGGTATCCGTGTTGCGCGTTGTTTCTGTCTTTGCGGCTCGGCGGCTACCCTTCTACAGGATTGGATGGGTTGGATCAGCTGCTTGTTACAGCGCCAGCTTGACGCTCATTGGCAGAGTCGTGCAGGCTCCGCCCCTTTACAGCCTTGAAGCCTTGCCGCAGCCTATCTGTTCAAGCCTTCGTTCACCGGACGCTTGGCATAGCATCCAACATCGGTTCGCTTCGCTCTTTGGCATAAAGTGTAACGGAGTCGTGTATTGAAGAGTAGAAGAACGACTACGTATATATATCATGAACCCACGAAATCTTCTTTCAAGCATCACTAATATGGCAAAAGACGGGAGTACGGATGAGCGGACGAAGCTGAACACCTCGGATTATGACGTGGCGTGGATTTGTCCGTTACCTGACGTTGAACTGCCGTCTTCCAGGTTCATGTTCGACGAAGTCCACCTCACGCCGAATTATGACGCTAGCCAGGACTCTAATCAGTACTATTGCGGCAAGATTGCAGGCCATAATGTGGTCATGGCAACTCTACCTCTTGGATACTCCGGCTATCACCACGCCGCCCGCTTGAGCAGCGCTCTGTTCAATACATTTTCCAATATCAGGACATCGCTCATTGTTGGAATTGGTGGAGGAGTGCCATTACCGCAGCCATGTGACAATCCCCTACAAGATATTCACCTTGGAGATGTCGTGGTAGGATGGTCTCGAGACGGCAAATCTGCGTGTGTCCACTATGGATGGAATAGGGACAGAGGAAACACGGAACCTGAAATACTTGGCACAATGGAGAAAGGGGATTGGAATCTTGGGCAAGGTCTCGCGAAGTTGGCATCAGACCATGAACGTGGTGAGACCAATTTTCAGGATCATTTGAGGCGATTGGAGAACGCCCCGGGGTTCGCCCATCCCGGACTTGAATACGATCGACTATTTCGCGATTCTGTTGAACACCGAGGTGAATACGGTTCGAGCTGCGAGAATTGTATTCGCAACCCATTCGCATTGGTTGCGCGGCCTCCACGTACCAGTGTGCCCAAGGACGATATCATCTTCCACCTGGGAAAGATCGCAAGCGGCAATTCGGTCATCCAAAACGGGAAGCGCAGGGACAAGATCAGTCAGATTTGTGGTGGGGTGCTTTGCGTCGAGATGGAAGCAGTAGGTGTCGATGTCAATAGGAAATATCTTGTGGTGCGGGGAATATCCGATTATGCAGATTCGCATTAGAACGACATCTGGAAACTTTATGCTGCTGGCAATGCAGCAGTGTTCTCGAAAGAGTTGCTATGTAAGATGCAACCGAGAGCCCTTCAACATGAGGCGGCGAGCCATCCAGGTAGGCATACTGGCTCTTCGATATTCAGCAGCTAATATAACACAAAAGGTCCGAGTCCACTTCTGCAAGCTCAACGCAACATGCAACGAGGCCAGGTATTTCAGGGTGGTTCTGTTTTCTCAGGCAACAACCGGACAGCAAGCGGGGATATTAAGATGCTCGGCAATGTCAACATGGGGGATGGAAATTTATCATTCTGATGGATTCGATGTGCATTTTCGTTGTATCGAGTAGCGTCAATGTGCTATTCAACCGCGCTTTGTAATGCCGATTTAAGTTTGCCTTTGCTTGCCGTCAAATAATCACCCAAAAGGGCTGTCGCGATAGGATGTTTAACCGCGAATGAATAATTTAGTGTTCAGTGACAAGTCTCTCTGTTTGCGAGTGCTGCGAGATGTATGTGGCCATCAGCCATGTGTCCGTGATCGTTTCTCCTGCCCACTAATCGCGGGACCAATAGTCACGACCTTGTGAGATAATTTGTAATGACAGCATGCAAGGCCTTTGAGGATCTATCAGCTGTTCTTGTAGAGTCTTTAGCCCGTCTCGTCAAATCTTTTCTGCAAAGCCTTTGCAGCAAGCTCACCCAAACCAGCAATTGTTCCTGAGCTGAGGATCTCCAAAACGCTGATATCCACACCCAAGATCTGCTTATACCACCTGCGTAACTCTATAGCCATCAAAGAGTCCAGGCGAACGTCTGCCAAACTAATTGTCACATCGACGTCTTCCTCTTCTCTCATCAAGAAATTGAAGATCTTCTTCCCGGCCACCGAAGCTAGATACTCACTGCTCGATGAATCTCTCAGTAGAGATGGAAGATTGGCAGCGCGGGATACAAAACTACCCACGTCATCGCGTTCCGCTGCGTTCATGGAATTCTTCTCGCCAACAATGTTGTGGTACAGACCCATGCGGCGATCAATGCGCCAAGATGCGTGGTTCGATGGGTCGTCGAGCGGTATTTCCGATCGAAGGCCCATAACAATCTGACTGCTGTTTGACCAGGAACTAGATTTGTGGTTTTCATTCAGCCAGGGTTCCGAGCGACTAGAATGGCGAATGCTCAATTCCAAGAATTTGAGGAGCGCACGCTCGTCCAAAAACCAATGCCCTTGCGACCGCAGCTTCTGGCGTGCTTCGCTGTTCATTGCTACATACCCAACATCTTCGATCGGGCAAACATTCAGCACCGAAGCTGGCAGCCCTAGGCTATGCCGATATTGGCAAAAGGACTCTAGAAAAGTATTTGCTGCGTTGTAATTGCTTTGTCCAACCTGCTGAAACACTGTGCCGAGCGAGCTGGTCATAACGAAGAAGTCCAATTCGGATAGTTGTCGATGGAGGTTCCATGCACCCTCTACCTTAGGTGCTACCACTGACTGCCAGTCTTCGTGTGTCAGTTCCAAGACTGGTCCGTCTCGGAGCTGCATGGACAAGTGCAAAACACCACGGATAGGGAAGCTGGCTGCATCCTTTGCTCGTGAGATGTCTGTCGCATTTTGTGCAAAGCCTTGTATTACCAATACTTCACAGCCCATACTGTTGAGCTCAATGAAGAGATCTTTGTCTTCTGGTTTCTTCCCTGCGTTCGGTGATAAGTAGATCAAATGGCGGGCCCCATGTTCCACAAGCCAAGTAGAAATAGTTCTGCCCAGTCCACCCAGCCCTCCTGTCAACAAATAAGAGGCATTGCTGTTTAGGACCAAAGGCTCCTGGAGGCTAGGTTCATGTTCTATGCTGAACGGGCGATATCGACCAACATGTATCGCATCATTATGCACAGCATACTCTCGATCGGGATGGAGGTTCTCATACGCTGGTTGCTTTTGCGTTTCACGTAAAACCTCCTTTACGTGATGCACAAATCTTTCCGCATTTTGGTCAATCTCCAATGTTGTAATAGGAAGATCAAGCTCGGAGCGCGCTGTTCTGATCATTCCTAACGACTGGCTTCCATCAGGATCAACGCAAGAGATCTGGAAAGGAGGCATGATCCACAGAATATTCGGCTTTCTTTCCAGGCGACAAAGACGTTGGAAATATCGCAAGTTCTCCGTGCTCAGGTCCGCAAAGAATCTCGATTCCAAGTCATGTAAGACTATGATGTCTCCACTGGCTGGTAGCTCTCGGCCGAATTGGACTATTTGTGGATCATATTTCTCATCCCGAAGCTCTTGGATCAAACGCTGGTTGACATGCGAATTATTGTCTGCGCATAAGATCGAAATTTCGTTGCCGGAACTCGATGCAGGGACTGGTTTTTGGGAGATGATAGTAGCACAGTAATGCGACGGTTCATCAGCATCCAGAATCACATCTGTAGCTCCACTTAGACCAACAGATTTGAGTTCGTCGTCCCATCGACAGACATCCACGTATGGTTCCCACTGGCGATTGTCTGCATCTCCCAACCACCACCCAGAGAAGTTGCCGTAGATGTAGTTGGGTGCTCGGAACAAAGTGCAGAATTCTGTGAGAAGAAGTCTCCCGCCAGGTGCCAACAGCAGCTCCAGATGCTGTAATGTCTGTGAAAGGCTAGGCGTTGCGTGAACAACGTTTGCGGCTATGATCAAATCATAAGAATCGTGTTTGAAACCTTGCTCAAGCGGATCTTTCGAGATGTCAAACACCATAAAGTCCATATTGGTTGCTTTGGCAAACCTCTCGCGCGCTGTAGGGAAGAATCCAGCTGATATGTCGGAGAATGTGTATCTCCCGTACCTTGAGAATTCGCCAATGGGTTGCAGTCCGCGCAAGATAAGTTCGGTCGATCCACCGGTACCCGCTCCAACTTCAAGAATTCGTAGGTCTGATTTCTGGTCCGCGTAGGCCTCTACCAGACGGCTGTAGTCGAAGCTGACTGCATCGTAGATCTTTCCTAGAGTATTCTCGCGTAGTAAGAGCTCCAGGATATCTACCTGGCCGGTGAATAGGTCTTGAATATTAGAGTAGACCCTGAAAATACCTTCTGCAAAAGATGCCATAGTAGAAGATTCCAATGCGCATTTGTATAATACCTCAATGCGAGCTTGCCGCTCTTCGGAGGATAAAGTAGCGACGTGGACAGTGTCTCTGAGAACAGGGTGCTTTCCATCAAAAGCTTCTTCGGCAACCCATTCTAACCACGCGCGATACTTCAATAAGTGATCTTTGTTGGGCGTCATATCCCTCACACGTGAAATTGAGTCGATTATACAAAGCATAGAGAGTTCTTCGATGGTTTTCCTATCCTTCACACTGGTGTCTGGTGATTTAACGAGGGAAGATGTCTCCTGAAATCTGCAGTCCGGAACCCAGTGGAGACGCGCGCCGCCATGATGATCACCACGTTTGTCAATTTCGGTATTGGGAGGGGCTTCTTTGAGTCTTAATCCTTGGAGAAGAAAGCAGGGTTTTCCATCAATTCCAGATGCTGATATCAAGACCCCAGAGTCTCCCTCAGAACACGAGGCTGTGCACTGCATCATCGGACTGCCCTGGAAAATTTCAAGTCTCTCAATGTGTGTAGGCATTTGTGATTGCGCAAAGTTTCTGACCAAACCTTTCGTCAGAGCAGCTAACCCAATTTGCAGACTTCCATCAATCACAGTGGGATGTACTGTGTATGCTCCGGCCCGGGCGTCCGGTGGGTGCGAGATGCATCCGGCAGCAACTGTGTTTGTTGTCGAAGTCGATAGCTCTTGGACTCTGCGGAACGTCGCGCCATAGCTGAGTCCCAATCGTGCTAGAGCGGCATACCAAGCTTTTATTTCAACCTTTCGTGACAATTTGTGGTTGGATTGCTGGAGAGTTTTCCGATTGTCCGATGGACCCACTTGTCCTGTGCAATGCTCTACCCATGTAGACATGCTATATGAGGAGACAGAGAAATGGAATGTGTTCTCCGAGGGGACCGCTGATTCTGATTTGCAGCGACGTAGTGAAGTTACAACTTCTACTGGCTCTTCGACGTTCAAGACCATTGCAGTGGTAACTTCCATGTGGCGAATAGAAAACCCTTGATTAATTCCACTTATCTGACGAAACGCCTCTCCAGCCATTGATGCATAACAAGCGAAGGGATAGACCACGTCGCCGGTCACTTTGTGGTCAACGAGCCATGGGACGGCTTCTACGCTCAACATTACTCGCCAGACGGGATCAATGTCTGTAGTTGATGTTACACGTAATCCGAGTAGTTCGTGGTGGCCGAACCGTCTACTTTTCCATGATTTACTGAGTCTGCTTTCGTACCAAAACCTTTTCGAATGATTCCAAGGATAAGGTGAAATGTCTGTAAGAACGGAGCGCTTTGGGATGATTCTATCCCAATTGATATCTATGCCGTGCTGAAAAAGAGTTCCGAGTGCTGTCAGAAGACTGTGCATGCCGCTAGAATGCCGGTTGAGTGTCGAGCAGTACTGGAACTTTATGTTCTGATGGGAACATATTTCGCGAAGAGGCCCACGTAAGGTTGAATGTGGACCAATCTCTACAAGTACACTCTGGTTGTGTGCACGGAGAGCTTGTTTGATGGCGGAGTCGAATTTCACTGGCGACAACAGGTTGGCAACCCAGTACTCAGGCGTTAGAACCTCAACTGTGACCCTTTCCTCTGGTTTGACGCTTGAGTACATGGTCGTCAACAGCTTTTTTTGATCAAGGTTCTGGTGCTTCAGTTCACGATTCAGTAGATTCAGATACGTCGGTGCCAGGTTGTCAAGATAGTGTGAATGATAGGGTACATCGACCTTGAGTGTCCGAGCCATTATGGCTTCGTTTTCATTCGTGATTTGTTCAACAATTTCCAATATCGTCTGGCGATCTCCAGAAATGGTTGTAGAATTTGGGCTGTTCTCGCAGGCAATGTTCACGCCGGGCCTGAGAAGCCCGTGTGTTTGAGTGGCACCGAGTCCGATAGCCGCCATGGCTCCCTTTGGCCCATAGTTCTTGAGGATATATCCCCGATAGTAGGCAGTGATAATCGATTCTTCCTTTGAGATGGCACCTGATGCATAAGCTGCAGCAATCTCGCCACTTGAATGACCCACGACCGCATTTGGTTTGACCCCTACTGAGGCCAACATGTCAATCAATGCAATCTGCAACGCGGTGCAAATTGGTTGCGATATCTCTGCCTCATTGATCATGCTGACTTCGTGTTCTGCTTGTAACTGATGTTTGATGGTCCATTTCGGTGGATGTATCAATGTTTTCAATATTCTGTCCATGGCCTCGATTGATTTGTTGAAAACTGGGTTATTGAGAAGGTCCAGACCCATTTGTGCCCACTGCGCTCCTTGTCCACTGAATACCATTGTTATGCTCAGATCCTTGGGGGGCATTTTCAACACAGGGGCCGCCCGGAATTCAAGGTCGTTCCCTTGAACGGCAAAAGTTCTCAATCGATGATGTTCTCGGTGGTGACTTAGTGTGTATTCCAAATCCGATAGCACGCCTGGGTGGGTTTGTGCATAATCTTGGACATTATGGATACTGTCATGGAGAGCAGACGATGTGGCGGCGGACATCAGCAGAAGTCTTGGTGTCTCCTTTGGGGAGCGTGGTATCTCTTGAAATTCAGCAACATAGCTGAAGGGATGCTCGACAATAACATGAGCATTGGTCCCACCTATCCCGAAGGAATTGATAGAAATGCGGAAGTCGCGATTCCGAGGCCAAGGATCTGGTCGTTGGGGTACTTGCAGCTTGTATCTTTGAAAGTCGATCTTCGGGTTGGGCGTTTCGAATTTGATATTGGGGACGATCATGCTTTTCTCGAGCATGACGATACTTTTGATAAGAGAGCTGAGGCCCGAACAGCCCTCCGAATGGCCAAAATTGGGTTTCAATGAGCCTATCATCACGCCCTGTGTACCGAAAACCTCGCCAACGGCCGTGACCTCGATAGGATCTCCCGTCGGGGTCCCGGTGCCATGACATTCCACGTATGCAGTGCGATGGGGCTTCAAATTGATGTCGGCATAAACTCTTCGAATCAGTTCAGCCTGAGCGTTCATGTTGGGTTGAAGGATGCTGGCACTTTTGCCATTGGAATTTACCCCCGTATTAGCAATGACGGCTCGGATGGGCAAGTTTTCTTGGACAGCACGATCCAATGTCGTGATGTATACAGCTACTACTGCTTCGCCTCTGGCAAATCCATCCGCCTCTGCCGAAAAGCTTTTGCATGATCCTTCCGGGGAAAGAATTCCTTCCGAGGCCATGGCAGCTGTTAAAGTTGGTCCGAGAATGAGGTTTGATCCTGCAACGAGGGCACCGGAACAATCACCAAGCTGGAGTGCTCTGCATGCTTCATGAAGAGCAACTAGGGTGGCCGAGCAACCTGTTTTGATGACCATGCTGGGTCCATGGAGGTCGTACTCATATGAGACTCTGTTCGCCAGCATCAAGTCAGCTTGGCCACCCAGAATGTAGCCACCGCTGTGTTGATCTTCTTTCGCTTGCGAGTACAGCCAATCTTCACCAAAGGTTCCAATGTAGGTTCCAGTCGTAGACCCTCGGTATTTGGTAAGGCCCGAGTTTTCAAAGCATTCATATGCTATTTCCAGAAGAAGTCGCTGCTGAGGATCTGTTCTCTGTGCTTCTTCTTCTGTCAGAGAAAACATAGATGTATCGAAGCATCCGGGGTCTTCCTCTAGAAAATACCCGTGCTGAGATTTTATAGCACCCTTTTCACCCAATGCATCGCCAAAGCCTTCGTTGTTATATCTGCTCTTTGGGACTGGGCCACGCATATCTCGGCCGTCTCGAAGTGCTTCCCACAACTTCTCTGCGCTGTTGACATTGCCCGGAAGCCTCAATGCAAGGCCGCATATGGCGATTGGTTTTCGGGTTTGGCTCATCCCGTTACGAATGTTGAGTTGAATTTTCTTTGGGTCGGTTTACTGGTGGTTGAGTTATTCAGATCAGATTAACGTTTTTTGAGAGGCCTGTTCTATGATGAGATTTTTGGCACCAGATACTACAGAATAAAGTAGCGCAATTGCGTTTTGCACGGTGTTTCAGGTATCTGGAATCTGGTACGTTCCACGAATTGTACTTAGATTTGATATACCCTACACAACGCTGGTCGACGAATTGCTCAATATTATATCTCAGCTGCATGGGTATATCGTGTCACATTGTGTTGACCAAGTGCAGAAAACCATCATTGGCTGCGATATGTTACAATACCCTATCCCCACATATTCAAATAGTTGAGTAACATTTGGGGCCAGAAGGCAACCTTTTGCCTTTATTCGTGAAACGATAAGCAGTCGCCTATTTACTTGGAATGTAATCATCTAGCTACCTACGTGGGCATTGGCCGTGCATAGATTAAACTGCAGCGAAGTGCGTGGGCGCGTCAGCAATGTGCACCCATCCCAATTATTTGCCATACACACCAACTTGTGTCATCGGACACCGAGGTGAACACCAATCAGCTTGAGCATGAGCTGGTGTGAGTTCGAGTCGTATCGTACCTATTATCGCAACGCTGCCTCTCTCATCGCGGCGACTCCATCTTCACAACGGCGCGATGGCAAGCAAAAACTCTTCGTTTAGCCCATATGCGATTGCTGCAGGGAAACTTCCTCCCAATATCTCGCACCATGATCGTTATTCTTCTTACAATGGTGTGCCGATGACAGCAGTCCTGGCCGTTATAGCCGCCTTCGCCATCATATTTTACGGCATTCGTCTTCATGTTAGGTTCAATATTATGAAGAAACTAGGATGGGATGACTGTGAGTCTTTCGTACCGATTGCAACACTACGAGCCTGGAAAATTGTTACTGATGTCCACAGTGGTGTGCACATTCGCACTGGTGACTGCTTTGCCCTTTCTTTTAGCCATAAGAGGAATTATCTAACTTTCAAAAGATTGGAGTCCTCATGAATCTTTCATGCTTTGGGATAGGTGCATGACACGGCAAGCCTTCAAACAACCGCCCAGCTGACCTCTTTACAGCCAGCGTATCTGGACCTCTTGGGAAACACATGTGGAATATAACACTGGCAGACTTCCTCGGTAACAACTTCGTCGTTGTAAGGAGTTCCACCGAAGCTCGATATCTTGACGCTGGCTGACTATCGCATAGACGAGTTACATCATGCAGGTTTCCATGACTCCAACCATGGGTCTTATTAAGCTCGCGATCTTTCTCTGTTACTACGAGTTTTTCTGGGCCTTGGATTGGTGTCGCATAGCCATCTATACCTTTGCTTCTCTCAGCAGCGCATTCTATCTTTCTCTCACTGTCGTACAGTTTTACTTCATGACGGCTCGCAAGGGGGAAACATTGGCCAAACATTTTGCAGGAGATATGGCCGCTCGCGTAACGCATATTGCGATCCCGATCACCGCCGCCGGGCTTGCGATTGACATAATTCTCCTTCTGATCCCGCTAGTAGCTATTTTCCAGGTTCAAATGCCCAAGAAACAGAAGATCCGGTCGGCCTCAGTCTTTTTGGTCGGTATAGTGTAGGTTTATAGTTGCTTAAAACTATACTGGAAGATACTGAACCCGAATAGAGCTATAATAGGTTCCATATTAAGTCTGGTGTTCAAACTCAAGACTTACGGAAACCTCGATCTAACCTACCACGTCATACTGGTAAATTTCTTCATGTACGCTCCTCGTTCTTCCAGCTTCATACTCTATTCTAGTCTATTACTAACTTAATAAATACAGATGTTCTGAGATGAGCTTAGGCATTTGTATTGCATCAATGCCCTTCTTCTTCCGCGCGTTGAAACATCACAAAGCCAGATTGAGCTCCATGGCAATTAGCTTCGCATCGGTGCGGCCACAGTTCATGACAAGACATCCGTCACAATCGGATCCCGCGAGTTCGGGACGAAGTTCAGAATCAGAGGAGAAAAAGGAAATCGTTAAAACTTCTGAGGTATGAGCAAATGCTCAGAATACCGACAGTAGTTCGTTGCGGAGACAGGCCAGGTGACAGAGATTGAAGGTGGAGAATTGCAGACCCTATCGAGCCTATAATGGCAATATCCA